CTAGAAGTGTCCTTGACTTTGAACCTAACCTGTCTTATTCTACTTTTCTTTATTTTATTTTACTTTTTCTCTCTGTCTCTCTCTCTCTCTCTCTCTCTCACACACACACACACACTCTTTCTTTTTTTTTTGTTTTAACAAACATTAAGCCTTTACACACTCGTCGTCAGTCTTGGGTTATTTCAATTTTTCATAGGTAGAGTAAAATCAAGGACATTTATGATCGATAAGTATACAACCAACTCGTGGTGGTGGTGGTGATGGTGGTGGGGGGGGGAGGGGCTGAATGTTATGATTAAATGAAGAAAAACAAGTTAAAATACAAATTGTTAACTATAACAATTTTCCTAAATCGTTCGATAAAACAAATAATTATTAATATTATTAATAATAATAATAATACTAATAATAATGAGTTTAATTTTAATTATGAGTTTATTCATATATATATATATATATATATATATATATATATATATATATATATGTATATATCTTGAAAATAGTAGAATTATTATTAATAATTAAAATAAGAATAAATATATTACAATAATATTATAAAAATTGAGTTAGGATAATGCATAAAATTTCATAATAAAAAAATAATATATAAATAATTATATATATATATATATATATATAATTATATAATTAATAATATATGCAATAATAAATTAATATATGATATAAATAATAATAATAATAAATTATACATATATATATATATATGTTATACTTATTTGTGAATGTTTATTAAATGGTGAATGGATGAAGGTGGAGATAAATGATTTAAGAAAGTAATAAAACAAATTTGACAATAAATATATTTTTGAATATAAATAATCATGGGAATATATCTTTCTCACTTGTCAATTATAATTATAATTAAATATTATTTTTTTTTTTTTTTTATTTGAGGCTTTCGTTTAAAAATAAATTAAAGAAGATATATATATATATATATATGTATATCAACGAAAGAGAAGATGAGAATATTTAAAGTACCAAATAAGATGACTACTTGCGCAAACGTTTCTCTTACGTAAAGTTCGTTCTATATGCACGAATACATTTGTATATAAATGCACATATATATATATACAGATGTGTGTATGTGTGTGTGTATATATAAGGTTTGCATACTTTAGTTGGTGCGAATGTGAACGCCAAGAGAGGACGCAGTTCATTAATTAATTCGAGGCCAATTATAGTTGCCGAATAGGTGAAACACGTTTGCACTGAGATTTTCGGTCCTTTGAAGTTTCAAATTGTATTCTATCGTATCGTGTCTTATCTATTAGATAATTTTACCCAATATTACGGTATCGTTCATCTATATATATATATATATACTTCGATTACTTATGATCAATTTATCTAATAAATGATGAATTTAGAAATGTTATGCTTCAAATATTTAGATAATTATTTGTACTATCTCAATTAATATAGAAAATGTTTATAATAGTTTGTTGAACGTTAATTATCTTTTTAAATAATTATTAATAATTTATTTGAAAGTTTATTATTGATTGTTATTATCAAAATTGAAATATAGTATATATATGTATATACTTAATTAATGATATTAATTAATTTATATATATATATATATAAATATATATATGTATATAACTATGTGTGTGATATATTTATATCATACAATGGTTTGTTAATAATAAAGAATAAAAATAATGTTCTCACGAACGATTGATAAAGTAGGAAGAAAATGAAGAAGAAGAAAAAGACGACGTAGTTGGATAAAAATGGCGTGAACGGAAGTGCGAATGAGAATTACGCCGTTAACTTTTATTTATTTTTCTTTATTTTCTTTTTTTTTTTCATCCTACTCATAGTAGAAAGTTTACTGTAGTGTATGTGTGTGTGTGTGTGTATGGTTTGATGGTATATTTCGTTCTTTTTCACTCTTGTATATCTTCCTTCTGTTGCGTCACGCTTCTCAAACTGTTATGCTCTTTACGAGAGACACGATTCTTGTCTCATTTCGTCGAATTGCAATTATAATCGTTTTAAATAAATTATAAATACACAATAATCAAAGATATAAATAAATAAATAAATTAATTAATTAATTAAATAATAAATAACGAGAATTAACAATATAATACGATAGTAATATATTTATTCATTATTTTCATTATTTCATATTTGTCAGATTTCTTTCGAATTATTTTATATGAAATTTATGATGCATTATCTTAAACCTAACCTTACTTTTATATAATATTATCGTAATATTATATTTTTATTCT